CCATCCCCCCCCCATCCCTAAAAGTTTCTCAGCGGATTTGGGCTGTACTCAGCAAGCGCAGTACAGCCCCCAACTCAGATTTGAAAAAAATCAGTGGATGGTTGTTTTCTGACTGGTCGGCGGACCGCCGACCGTCGGGGCAAAACGGTCGGCGGTCGGGGTCGGCGGTCGGCACCGGTGCAACCCTGGTGCGCAGTGAAAATCAGGGTTGGCAAAAACAGGCTTGGATGTAGTGGTGGCTTAAGGCTGCAGACACACAAGAACTCCTCGTTCTAGGCCTGAAATTAGTGGTCTCTTGGAGAGGCAGGAAGTTCCTGGCATGGGTCTTTGGACTGGGGCATGGTGCTGTCCCTACCTTGCGCTTTACATGTATGTTGATGTCAATATTACATGCTTAGGTTGAGCCGTAAAGCGAGTGAATTAAGAAAGCAAACAGATGTATGAATGTGTGACTGAGTTAGTGGATGGCGTGATGGGTGCAGGGATGCAACAGGATGGGATGAGAGCATGATGGAAATGAATCGGATAGGTTTGGATAAGCGATAGGGTCCAAGAAGGGAATGAAAATGAATGATTTGAAGTGGAAGGGATGGGTGTATTGTCGTCGTTGCCGTTTGAACATCGAATGCCCATGTCAAAAGTAGCAGCGAAGTGGTCAAGCCCACACAAATGGTAAGCTGTGTTGTTTTGAATTGTTTGGAACTGATTTTGCAGACTCAGAAACAAACAAACAGAACATCTGGAAGGGAGCAGCAACCAGCAGGATGTCCAGCACGCGCTTTAGCAAATGAAGGACGCTTCGAGGAGCCTGACAGTTTGACGGATAGAACACGATCATCGTGTGGGCTGACAAGGTCAGCCAAGGATACGGGATCTCCTGCGGGAATGAACACATCAGTTGAGGCGAGAGAATCCGCGGACAATGGAAGGTCTCAGTCACAATCGGTGGGGAACAGGTCCCTCTCTGGGGAAGTGATGGGATCTGGAAGAGATAGAACCGCGTCTGTGGGAGGCAATTCAGGCTCAGGTGCTTCTGAAGGAATACCGAAGGGGAAGCTGGTTCAGACACTGCCAGTGTTGGTGGCAGGGTCTGTTCCAGGAGTTAGCTCTTTTGGAGAGCAACATGACAGCGATGATTGTGCGGGCGTGCGAACCATGTCTACAAGTGAAGGGGATCGCAGCAATGGAGGGGACTCGAGCACACCGCCCTTGTCAGCAGATGGTGGGAGGCCTGCGTTTGTGGAAGATCCTCCAGTTGTTCTTGGTGCTGGCAAGGAAAAAGTGGCTTTGCTTGGAAGTGCTGGTACTTCGGCTCCTATTGCTGTAGGTGATGAGCATCTGTGCGTGCCTGTGCAGACGCCATCGCATAACTCTGCTGCCATGCAGCAGGACTTTCAACGAAGAGTGGCGGCAGGATCAGCACCGACGTATGGATGGACTTCGACTGGAATGGTCCCTCAGCTTTGCGTGCCAGAGGCGCCTCGGTTTGTAGAGCATGCATCGGGGGCAAGTAGTGGTGGGGCTGTGACGTCAGGCAGAGTGTTGGCACGCTTGGCTTCACAGAGTGCTGTGGTCTCACCGGGGCTTGGAATGCCTCAGGACTTGGCAGGCCTTATGCAGGGGGTTCAGCCGGCACTGCCTCATATGCTGGGGGAAAGAGGAGTTATGATCCCTTCTCTGACGCCGCCAGCTCTCATTTGTCAGAGAATGGAGCAGGAAAGTGCAGGCTCTGAAGGCATAACACAGCAGCTGAGCCACCAGCAAGTAATGCATCGTGCGGGCTCTCAACAACTCAGTCATCTCACGGTTGGCAATCTGACAACTCCGCGGCACCTGTTGAATCCGATCCCTGCTGCCCCACCTTTGTCTCAGCAGATGATATCTCCACCCTTTGTGACGCATCCATCGACCGATCACCATCAACCCAGTTCACCGCACATGAGCAAGCTGCCCTTGCCCTCAGAGCAGCATCAGGCTGGTAAACAACTTCCTGAAGTAAGTTCTCCGCTTATTGATCGTGAACAGCTTTCTGAGCAAGAAGCCAGCCTGCATCATCTGACAATGCAATTGAGAGTCCAGCAACAGCATCACCACCATTGGGGACGGTTGCAACCCCAGGTAGGGCAGCAGGATCGAGGGCAAGAGGTGGTCAGAGAAGCCCAGCTACACTTGATGCAGCAGAGTCAGCGTCAACGTGAAGAAATCCTGATGAAGCACTGGCAGCAGGTGCAAGCCCATGCGCAGCAGCAACAACGAACAATTCAGCGGCCACCCGCGCAACTCCCATTGTTATTGTCACATCAGGCGCTGATCGGGCCCGGTCCTGCGATGCCCATGCATGCGTCTGCTCCTCACATGGGGCAAATGTTTCAGCGACAGTCAGATGCACCAGGGGTCCAGTCTTTTTCAAGAAATGCATTGGAGCATTGTGAGAGAATGAAAGATGGTGATGACAATGGTGGTGAGTATTACGATATTGATGACGAGGGGGAAGCAGGAGAAAAAGAGGGAAATGAGAAGGCAGAGATTGTTGCTTCTGATGTGGGGAATCTGAGGCAGTGGAGACAGCAGTCGCAGCAACCTCAGCAACCTCAGCAACCTCAGCAACCTCAGCAACCTCAGCAAGAGGTGCAGCAACCTCAGCAAGAGGTGCAGCAACCTCAGCAAGAGGTGCAGCAACCTCAGCAGCAACTGCAGCAGCCCCAGCTGGTGCGGCAGCGGGCTGAGCGACAGGTGCTGCAGCAGCGGCCTCAGCACCAAGAGCAAGAACAGCAGCCGAGTCACGGTCTCTTCAGTCCTCGTATATCCTCTGGTATCATTACGGATGAACAACATCCAAGTCCGCCAAAGGTCACTGCGCACAACTCTGCATCTGTAGGGATGCTGTTGGGGACAAAACCTTTCACATCCCTCGCTGAGGGACCTGGCGAGTCTAACCGGTGTTTGTTAGGCAGGATCAATACGAGGTCCAGGTCTGCTACACTGAGTGTGCATGGAGATTTGGGAGAGACGTCAGCAAAAGGTTTGGTGGGAGCGGTGAGAACCTGCTGGGGAGAGAAAGGGATAGAGTTGAATGTAAATGACCAGGAGGCGGGAAGGGAGTGTAGGGATGACCGGATGGAACTGCAGAAGATTGCTGTTGCAGAGATGATAAGGCGGGGTAATGACAGTGTGGAGGTGGAAATGGCGGCTGTGCCATCGCAGACCGAGGGTGATACAGGATTAGCTAGAGATAAAATGATGGAATCTGACAAGACGGGCAGAGGAGGTCCGGTTGCTTCAATGATTGAGGTTGAAGAGCCCACGCTCAATGTTGGAGTGGGGGAATGCAACAGTGATATGTGTCTTCGACAGTGGCTCTTGCGGCCAGGATGGGAGATTGACCGTGTGGAGAGCCTTCACATATTCAAACAGGTCGTCGAGATGGTGAAGGACGCTCATTCACATCAAGTGATGCTACGGCATCTGCGCCCATCGGCGTTTGCCATCTCCTCTGCTCATAGAGTCAGTTTGGTGGAGTGTGCAAGCACATTGGCCAGCAGCTCGGAACGGGGTACTACAGGTTCAGGAGGTTCGTCCAGGGCGTACAGCGGGGAACCGTCAGTGGAAACTAGGAAGGAATTAACTATGGTTCATTCAGTGCGCGATCCAGTAGAGGGCAGGGCGGGCATTCTGGCGATGGCAACGGGTAGTGCAAGATGTCCAGTTGAAAGTGGGCAAAGGAGGGAAGGATCGGGAATAAGATTATCGGGAAGAAGTGCTGAAAGAGAGAAAGAAAATGGAAGAAAGCGTGGAGTATCATGGCAGGGAATCGCAGAAGGAAGCATGAAGGAAGCCAGGTCAAGGCATCAATCCCAGGAAGAGTCTGGCGCAGCGTTCCGAAAACGCTACCGGGAGGTTTGGGAGGTGTCAGGGTCGGATGGATCCCAAGAGCTGTTAAGAACAGGAGATCCGGGAACTCCGAGCGAGGGACGGAGAGGAAAAGATCTATCTGGAGGCACTTCAGACGAAGACCAAGACGCATCTAGCCCGCATGCAGACATGGAAGCATTAGACATGGCAGAGCATGGCTGGTACATGAGTCCAGAGGAAGAAACCGGCTGCCAGCCGTCCCTTGCTTCTGACATCTATAGTCTTGGAGTTTTATTTTTTGAGGTTTGTTTTGCTGTTTGCTGACCATTTTGCCAAACGCATTGTAGTTCCGGCCAACCCTATGGACCCCTCTCTCTCCCCTCTCCTTTTTTTTTTTAACTGTCTACAAAACCACGGATGGTGATGGTAGGGTGCTGTCATCTGGGAAAAAAAAAGGAAAAAGAAAAAAAGAAGGGTGCTGCCAGCTGTCATCTAGATGTCTGATGCAACAGCTCTTCAACAGCTCTTTTTCTTGTGATGACGTGCACCTATCGGGTCCTTATGATCGACTATGTAGCTCTTCAACGAGCTACCGAGTGCTGGTAATGGCTGTTTCATCGCGGACTCGCAGGGAAAATGCCCACGCACATGCTCTCTACCTCTCATCTCCAGCAGTCCGATCCATTTCCAAAAGGCAACTCAAGTCATCCCCCCTTCTCAGTGAGCCAGTGTGGTCGTCGCTCAGCCATGTCTGTGTGCTTGTTCTCAGCCATTGTCGTGCACAGTTTTTCCTCTGCTTGTCCTGTTGTAGTTTGTAGCCCTGTGAACGTTCACGACTGCCCTGGATCCCTCTCGTTCTCCCTCTTTGTTCCAGTTCGTCTCGCCCAGCAGACCTTTTCCGGGTATCGGTTTTGTATCCTCATGGTGGTCAGTAATTTCGTCGGTCCTTTTGTTCGATAACTGGTTATCATCTTGGATGCTCTTCGTGGGAATGTCAGTTTCAAGAACTTTCATGCTCATTATTGGGGAGGAGGAACTGGAGTAGTTCATGATGAAGGTAATTCGAAAAGGCACTGGCAGGTGATGGGTGCTGGAGATGAGACCACTGTATCTTCAAATTTTGTGAATCTTTTTTTTTTTTTTTTTGGACCGTTTCTCAGTTTATGTGTGTCATCCTTGCACAAGGGCCATGCTAATCTTCTGTGTATCATTCCAATTTTAACGGATGTCCCGAAGGACGAAATTTTGTGAATCTAGTCCCTTGTGAATCTAGTCCCGCTTGGTAATGAAAATTGATAGGTCGAGTACCTGCACTTTGATAAATAAAGCCTGAGCCTGGAGGCACGGTCAAGTACCAACACTTCGATAAACAAAGCCTGAGCCTGGAGGCATGAAGTGTAGTGTTGATCAGATCCCAAGCGAAACGCTTGAGCTGCCAGTCGCCTGGAAGTTCAGACGGTGTCATCATCCCATCTTATATTATATGGGATGTCTGGCGTGCAGTCCAGCGGCCTTACGGTCTTAGACTTTTCCTTCCCTGCTGATTGTCCTGTCAAGCTGGGAAGGTCTGGTAGGCTGTATGCATGTTGTTGGGTGCGAATTATTGGGAATCTGAGATGGATTGTCTGCATGATGTTTGCCCGTCTTGCGCACTTCCCTTGGGGAGGAGTATGCTGTGTTTGCTCTCTTGTTGTTGGATGTGCAGCGAAATTCAGGTTGTCGCTCTAGCTGTCACTCACTCATTCATGTCAATGCTTTCTGTTCTGGTTGATTCATGGTGCCTGGGGGTCGGAGGCAGATGATGGACTGTTGGCATGATGTTCGCCCGTCGTGGGGCTTTCACCCCGGAGTAGAAGTATCCTTTGTTTGGTGTCGTTTTTCTTTGTGTGCGTGTGTGGGGGGCGAGAAATGGGGCCTCATGGATACGGCTCCTTAGCCATTCTGGGCAGTATCGGTCCAGTTCCTATTCGACCTGCAAGTCAGAAGAACACGATGGGACCCACTCTTGACGCCCCCCCATGTTACAGCTTGGGAGTCCTGACAGATTGATTTCTTCCCTAGGAAGGATTTACTGACACTGTGCGCATGCTTGAGGTCAATACCCTTGTCCATCCTGCTCCGGTCCCCCTTAAACCACCAGTACACGGCCATACGTCGGCTGCAGATGCCTCACTGCGAGTTCCGCAGGCGCAAAATGCGACGCCGGCCATGGATAAATTTATCAACGGCGTGCCAGCCCCGACTTTTTTGATTGTGGCAACAATTTTCTTTTCTGCAAGGCCGGCGCCATGTACTGGTGGTTTAAGAAACATGCGGAAAACAGAGCAGCTCCTTCCCTCTCAGTCTGCCGCCGTTGCAGCTGCCTGATAAAACCCTTGAAAAACATGCAGAAAACAGAGCAGCTCCTTCCCTCTCAGTCTGCCCCGGGCAGCTGCCTGATAAAACCCTAAACGCTAGGATACCGCTTGTTGCTCCGTGTAGCCCAATGTTGCCGTGATGTTGATGTCCTTCTGTGTTGTTGTTGGAGGCCAACAAACTTCAGCTGTCGCGTCCTTGAGCTGCATGGTGGCCTGTCGCGGCTCGGCAGTCGTCATTTTTGGATGTGCAAGGAAATTTGGTTTGGAGCTCTAGCTGTTCTCATTTATGTGCTTGACTGTGTTGTTGTTGGAGGCCAACAAACTTCAGCTGTTGCGTCCTTGAGCTGCATGGTGGCTTGTCATGGCGGCTCCACAGTCGTCATTTGTGGATGTGCAGTGAAATTTGGTTTGGAGCTCTAGCTGTTTCTCATTTTATGTGCTTGCTTTGCCGTTGTGGTTGGTTTGTGGTGTCTGGGGTTGGCGGTTGATTGAATCTGTGGTTTCTTCCGATTAGCTGTTCTGCCCAATCTCATGCCCACAGCTGAGAATGAGAATTATGGCACACCTGAGACACAGGATTCTTCCCCCCTGGTTCCTGTCGGAGCGACCAAAGGAAGCGGCATTCACGTTATGGCTTCTGCATCCTGAACCTGACTCAAGACCAAAAGTCTCAGAGGTTCTCTTATGCGACTTGCTTACTGAGGTTGAGGAGGCACTGAGAGAGCGCCAGGCTGTCATCAAGATTGAGGAGAAGGAAAGTGAACTGGAGGTGCTGCAGAACTTTCTACTGCATTCTCAGAGAACGAAGCAGAGCCAGGCCTCTCTGCTTGTGGCAGACATCTCAAGACTAACGGCCGACCTCAACGAAGTACAGTGCCGGCAAAAATGTCTTCGTCAATACGGTCCGCAAGCGCTTGACGAGCAAGGTAGTGGGCATCAGGTAAGACCAGGTATGGACAGCCACAGAGGGAATGAAAACGCACAGCAGCTGGGGGGTGCACCACAAGAAGGCGGCGATGCTGATGCGCCCTTGGACAGCAATACCTCTTTCAGCTTTGAAAGGTGGTGTAATGGCAGTAACAATGCTGCCACTAAACGACCAAGGGAGGAGGAGGATGTGGAGGGGGAGAAGTTCAGTCGTGGTGGAAGGCTGGTGACCAAGAGTGCCCGCGTCATGAGAAACTTCGAGCATCTCGAGAAAATTTATCTGTCAATGAGGCAAGCATCAGAACAACAAGGTGGACGCGATACGGCGGAAGGGAAGGAGGTGGGATCAGCGGTGGCGGAGCCCAGCAGAGTATGTCTGAAAGAATTGGAGCAGAGGCAGCCTGCTGCAGGAGAGGCACCCGTTCTTTCGTCTGCCAATCAACAACCGGCAGAGGGTCCACTGACGACTGCTCTGACTTCCACGGCTATCGGTCAGCCACAATTTGAAGTACAAGATCGGGATTGGTTGGGAAGCTTCTTCGATTGTCTTTGTAAATTTGCTCGCTACAGTAAGTTTAACGTGAAGGCGACACTGCGACATGGTGATCTGCTGAACACATCCAACATGGTATGCTCCATTAGCTTTGATAGAGATGAAGAGTACTTTGCAACCGCCGGAGTTTGCAGGAGGATTAAGATCTTCGAATACAACACAGTCGTTAATGATCGTGTGGACATTCACTACCCTGTTGCTGAGATGGCATCAACTTCAAAATTGAGCTGCATCTGCTGGAACAGCTACATCAAGTCAAGGTTAGCGTCTAGTGACTACAGTGGGATTCTACAGGTGAGTTCATAAGTCAGCGAGCAACTGCAAGGAGCCCCTTGCTGGTTTTTGTGGAATAATCATGCACAGCCATAAGGATCAAAATTTCAAAAACGAATCCAAGCATCTATCGTCCTCTCTCATGTCCCTTCTGGTGTGTCAATGGAGAAAGGAATATCAGTTGATATCACCCATATATCACCAACATGCATGTCTTTTTTTTTTTTTTTTTTTTGGATTTGTATGATTCTCAACTTCTCACTCCGAAGTAAGAAAGAACCATGGCTACGCCGGACCCGGACATTTCCGGACATGGAACCGGCCCCGTGTCCGGTAGTTTCCAGACGTCCTGAATTCCGGACATTTCCGGACCTCCGGACATGGGGGGATCCGGACAGTCCGGATGTCTGGACAGGTCCGGAAAATGTCTGGACCATTAAAAAAAAAAAAAAAAAAAATCTGAAAAAAAAGTACGTTATGCAGAATAACAATGCAAACCACTTTTGCCTCAGAGTCATGTCAGAATTCCTAACCAAACTTGAGTTAAAAGTCAAAAACTATAAAAAGCTTTAAAAAAAACTTAAAAAAGTTAAAAAAACTAATAAAAGGTAATGAATTATTCATAATAAAAAACTTGGGGTTGTCTAATAAATTATTATAGAGAGAGAGCATTGCAAGGAACATGAGTATGGACGAAGCACAGAAATCCAGAGAGCATTGCAAGGAACATGAGTATGGACGAAGCACAGAAATCCAGAATGCAAAATCACACTGAAGTCCAAGTAGTCAAAGCCAAAGCAGATAGCACATGGAACCGAGTAACCATCCAATTGAGCATGATACAGAAGAATCGTGAGTCAATGTCCATGCCCAACAGGCCAACACCAACAGCATAACCCAAATGTAGCTTTCTCTTGTGAATGGCGCCAGGCGCCCCATCTACTCTACAGCCTATACTACAACTACAGCAATGAACAGCAACCAGACAACTTGACTACCAGCGAGTGATGATGTCAACACCAATGCCGACCTCCACCTTCACCAGGTACGTGTCCTCTTCCCCNCAATGAACAGCAACCAGACAACTTGACTACCAGCGAGTGATGATGTCAACACCAATGCCGACCTCCACCTTCACCAGGTACGTGTCCTCTTCCCCTCACTCTCCCTTGTTACCCACACAGCGTCCTTCACCTCCGAAGACCACCTTCGCACTTCACCTCTCTGCACCCTCATGCGGCCCGGCTATGGCCGCCAGTGCCTTGCATGCAGGCAGCGCCCTACCGCCTAGCGCTGGCCTGCTCCACCTTAGCGCAGCGCTGCTCTGCACAGCGCAGCACACATGCATCCGCGCAGCGTGCCTGCAATGCCAGCATTGGCCAAGATCCCTGCCCACACGCCCTGCTTGCCTATATGCCAGTGCAGCGTGTGGGCGGCCTTCCTTCAGCCTGTGACCGGGACCCAGAGGCTGAAGCCTACCCGATACAGTTGGGCCCCGGAGCAATGCAGTTGCGCCTCTGTCATCAAGGCCTGCGGCCAGATTCAGATAGTGGGCCGATTYCCCTTTGGCATTTTCGGCCTCTCTACCCAGCGTGCATTGTCGGCCTCACGTTCGAGTGCCCAGGGCCTAACTAACTTAGAGGCCCTGGGCATTTCAGCATTTGCTGAAATCCGAGACTCGGTGCACTCCAACCAACTGGCGTGCTGCAACTGTATAGACCCCACTTCGTGAGATGTTGGCGTAGAGGGCTCTTGTTGATTTGCTGGCCCGCCTTCACTTAGGGCGGGCACTAGGCTTGCTGGGGCCTTAGCGCAGAACATGTGCATCATGGCAAGGCCCCTACTTGAGGGCTCAATCCTCACATTCCATCCCCCTTAGCTTCGAAAGTCCGCTGAGATGCTTACTTCGCAGGTGCCTTCCCTTTTAGCTTCCGTTCATAATCTGCCATCACCTGAGGAGCTGTTTCCATCAGTTCCTCCCAGGTAAACCACCGATCTTCTTTAGGATCCGTATGATGCCTGAATCTGATCCGGTACTCCCTCTTGGGTTTAGGAGGTCTTCCTCGACCCAGCGGCTTCGGAACAGGCATATCCCTGTGATCCACAATGTCGTCGATGTCGACTTGTCCATCCATGGTTGGGGGCAGCATCGATCTTCTGGAAGGGAATTGATCAGTCTCAGCAAAAGGTGCAAGCTTTGAGGCAAAACTTGGTGAGTGCGTAGGTGTCCAGGGACACGAATGACATATGTGGGACCATCCAACTCATCTCCCACTATATCCAAGACTTCCCAGGGACCAAAGTACTGAGGCATTAGTTTGCGAGATATTCCGAACTCCTGTCCTAACTCACTAGCCTTGACCCAGACACGTTCCCCTACCTGAAATGTGGGCTGTCTGCGATGTTGATTCTCATAAGCAATCATGGCTTGCTGAGCCTTCTTCATATGTTCAACAGCCTCTTGCAGCAACTTCTCATATTGCGCACCGTATTCAAGTGTGCCTGGAGTTGCAGCGGGTCGGTTTTCAGGTAGGAGGACGTCTAGTGCTGATCTAGGCTTCCATCCTAAGTGCAGCTGGTTAGGACTAATGTCGGTACTGCTATGTATAGCATTGTTGTACAGGCTGGTGATGAGAGGTAACTGCTCATCCCAGTCATCCTGGCTGGGCTTGATGTAGTGCCTCAGCAAGTGCTGTACAACTCTATTCATTTGTTCGGCCTGTCCGTTGGCTTCGGGATGATTCCCTGAAGTCATCTGAAGTTGACTGCCCATCTGTTCCGCAGTCTTCTTCCACAGCTCACTTGTGAATCGGACGTCTCGGTCACTAATGATGGTTTTTTGTAAACCAAAGTCCCTTACCCAGTTGTCCTTGAACAACTTGATGACGTATTCCGTCCTGGCTGTCTCTGGCATTGGTACTACTCTAGCGTACTTGGTGAATCTGTCAATGATGACGAAAATGTGCCTCTTACCACTCTTGCTGGTCACTAGGGTGTCCATGAAATCCATGGAAACACTCAGTCCTTGACCATCAGGAATAGGAAAAGGCTTCAATAACCCAAGCGGTGCTTGAGTTCGCGGCTTGTCCCGCTGACAGACCTGACAGGTCTCAACATACTTCTTGGCGTCATCAAACATACCAGGCCACCAAAATMKTTGTACTAGGTTARCACTCGTCTTCTTGTAGCCAAAGTGTCCCGTTGCGTCATGGCATTCTCCTAAAAACAAACTACGCAAAGGTTCACTAGATGGAACTACCAATCTCTTTATTCCGGCCTTCTCAAGATAGATTAACCCATCCACCATCACAAACTCACTTTCCGTGGCCTTGTCTTTTGCCTGAAGTTTACGGATGATGTCCATCGTGACAGGGTCTTCTTGATAGGCTCCCACCAATGATTGAGTTACTTCATTAGATACGCCAAATTCAGAAACTAGCTACCAACCTTGTTGTACTCTCCCTTCAGGTACTCGAGCTTGAAGTCATATTGATCTATGACCTCAATCCATCGCTTGAGTGCATCAGAAAGAGCCGGTTGAGTCTTGATCCATTTGAGGGTCTGATGATCAGTCCTCAGATAGAAGAACCTTCCCAAAAGGAAGTGTCTCCAATGGACAAGTGCCTTGTAGAGAGCGTAGAGTTCCCTTTCGTAGGTGGACTTAGCCAACTTCTTCGATGGCATCTTCTTACTCATGTACTCNAGTTCCCTTTCGTAGGTGGACTTAGCCAACTTCTTCGATGGCATCTTCTTACTCATGTACTCAATCGGTCTCAACTTTTTCCCATCCTGCTGAGCCATCACTGCGCCAATGCCATATTGGCTTGCGTCAGTGGTCACTATGAATGGCTTTTGTGGATCGGGAACCATGAGAACTTCATGATTCATGAGTGCATGCTTCAATCTCTTGAAAGCACCCTCGCACTCGTCACTCCAGTCCCACGGTGTGGCAAGTCGAGTTAGATCAGTCAAAGGTGAGGCGATTGTAGAATAGTTCTTAACGAAGTTTCTATAGTAGCCGCACATTCCTAAGAATGATCTGACCTCAGTGACTGTCTGAGGTCGTGGCAAGTCTCGAATACTAGCCACCTTCGCATCTTCCGGCCTAATTCCCTCCGCGGATACTTCATGACCCAAGTATAGTATCTTAGTGCGACCAAATTCACACTTCTCTAAGTTGACCTTATACTTGTGCTGTCGAAGGAGTGAAAGTACCGTCTCAACATGTTGTGCATGCTCCTCGGCAGACTTAGTAAAGATCAGAATGTCGTCTAGATAGACCACGACAAACTTATCTAAATGGTCATGGAAGATCCGATTCATAGCGTGCTGGAATGTACCCGGCGCATTGCAAAGACCAAAGGGCATCACTACAAACTCATACAGACCATAACGCGTCTGAAAAGTTGTCTTGTGTTGGTCCTCGGGTCTTATTGCGATCTGATGATATCCGGATTTCAAGTCTATCTTACTATAGTACTTGCATCCTTGCACCCTATCCAATAGGTCGTCTATGCGAGGTAGAGGCTCTGCGTTCTTCACAGTGATGGCATTGAGGCCTCTATAGTCAATGCACATCCTCAGAGTACCCCCCTTCTTCGGTACGAATAACACGGGTGATCCGTAAGGGGAAGTACTAGGCCGAATCCATCCCTTCTCTGTTAGCGCCTTGAGTTGCTTTCGAAGTTCATCTAACTCGGCAGGGGCCGTCCTATAGATCCTTCCCTTTGGGGTCTTACTCCCTGGAATGATTTCTATAGCGTGGACGACTTCCCTATCAACAACTCCTGTGGGCTCCTTGAACAGATCAGGGAACTTAGCAACGACGCGTTCTATCTCTGGGGGTGTTTTAACGGCCTCCCCCTTCTCAGAGACATAAACAAGGTACATACCCTCCTCTTGGTTTTGCTTATAGTAGTGGTAAAACGCGGATGCGCACAAGCAGCCATAGGTATCTATAATACTACTGGCCTTGAACTTGGTCAATCTGATAGTTCGGCCATCGGGCAACTTGTGTTTGA